AAATGCGACTTTGTCATAGACCTGTACACCTTATGCAGTCACACACACACACACACACACACACGGGACCTTGGACTGAGGACGGTTTCGGACTACGTTTCATTTCCTTACAAAGCGACACTAAGTAATATTTGGATAATCGTGTCTGACCACGACTGTCTTTTCGCTACTTGTTTGATAACATCAGACAAACAACCCTGGAAGGCGACAGTCTGTTCCGAAACATCAGGGACTCAATTCTAATGCCACCTTTGTGAGCGATTCAGGCTTCTGAACATCACCGGATGAATGCTGCATGTCATTTACGTGTGTGACATTTACAAACCTACTTGTCGCGAATGGTCAGTGATAACAGTCGATGTGTTCCGGTTATCTATGACGACTAGTGGTTGACCAGGGTCACGCAATGGCCTCGGATACGTCATCCATACGAAATCACGCGCGAATGGCAAGGTAGCAAACAAAACTAGTTCCAGGTGGTTGGTGTTTTGGCTGAAGAATACCCTACAAAGCAACAATCCTGGCACTCTATAAGGGAAAATGCCGGTAGCTCAGGTAGCGTAGATCGTGGTCGTTGGCTTGTTCGCTGAGCTGGGCAATTCGCAATCAAATCGCCCAGCTCAGCGAACAAGCCAACGACCACGATCTACGCTACCTGAGCTACCGGCATTTTCCCTTATAGAGTGCCAGGATTGTTGCTTTGTAGGGTATTCTTCAGCCAAAACACCAACCACCTGGAACTAGTTTTGTTTGCTACCTTGCCATTCGCGCGTGATTTCGTATGGATGACGTATCCGAGGCCATTGCGTGACCCTGGTCAACCACTAGTCGTCATAGATAACCGGAACACATCGACTGTTATCACTGACCATTCGCGACAAGTAGGTTTGTAAATGTCACACACGTAAATGACATGCAGCATTCATCCGGTGATGTTCAGAAGCCTGAATCGCTCACAAAGGTGGCATTAGAATTGAGTCCCTGATGTTTCGGAACAGACTGTCGCCTTCCAGGGTTGTTTGTCTGATGTTATCAAACAAGTAGCGAAAAGACAGTCGTGGTCAGACACGATTATCCAAATATTACTTAGTGTCGCTTTGTAAGGAAATGAAACGTAGTCCGAAACCGTCCTCAGTCCAAGGTCCCGTGTGTGTGTGTGTGTGTGACTGCATAAGGTGTACAGGTCTATGACAAAGTCGCATTTTTCCCTTCTGTGTTGGTAGACATACGTGCAAGTGTTTGACTATGAGTGGCATGACTACGAACGCGTTGCTGATCTGTTCGAAGCATCTCGCTGTTTGAATCCGGTGGATCGGCCCAGCCTCGTTCGACTTCTTGCTCTGGCCAGACATAACTGTCCACTGATAGATGGCGAACTGCAATTCCCTGGGTAGGTGATTCTTGCATCCTGCTTACTGCATCTAATTTTGGGACTGTATACGCGCATACCGGTCTTGTTGACAACGTTTCCTTTGTTAGTCAGCTTTGGCTTGGGATCTGTATATATCGTTTATACTGCCAAGTGTATAGTGCACAAACTTGTGTACCTGTTTGTTTACTGTTGACGCAGTGGTTATCTAATCAATCACTGGTAGATAAAAACATCAAACCATTCACTCGCGACATCCTTTCAGAGCTCGAAGACCTACTTTAACAATTAACCCCGGTCAAGGTAGGAGTAGTCCATGTCGCTGTGTGGACTGAGACTCTCGTTTTGGGACGGTCACACCTTTTTCTCGGTACCGTTTAGAACATTTCGAGCCCTTATCACTTACTCTGCTCTAGGTTGCCGCATCCACTGATACGATTAGTCTGCCCTCAACCGAAACCGATAGGGCATGTATACGGAGTGGTATGTCAACGTGACTAGACACACCGAATTCTAGCCCATTATAAAATACCTCCTTTTTAAAAGCCACCACCCCAAGGGCTTATCTAATCAAGAATCATCGACTCCTCGACGACAAAAATTGAATTATCCTTCCAAAATGTGTTCTGTACACCAGCAATGTATCTGCTCAACTAGAAATCCTTTCAGCTCTTGACCCTCGCACTGCGATCGGTCTGTCTGGTATTCAGTAGTAGGTGCAGTGGATGGCAAATTCGTACTGATGTTTGACCACTTTACAAACTCTGTTCATCGTTGCCACGCATATATCAGCCCTTAACACATTTGACCACCTCATTCCATTGCGTGGCTCCCCAATCTCCAGTAACCTACCTAGTCAGAAGCTAAAAATCCCCTGAAATCAGTTCGTCCATTGCGTGTAAATAAAGCTTGTAATAATTCACTTCTTCTGCTAGTCCTGACTTTTCAGAAACTGGTAGTTTTTGTCATCAAGAAGCAGCACTTTTCACAGCTTAATGCTCTTAAGTGTCACATACGTTTTCGTATAACGTTTTACATACTGGATTTCTGTTTTTTATTCGGTCGTGATCTGGCAGAAACTTGGCCATTCAGTAGGAAAACGTACTTCAGGACTTACTTATGATAAATTTGAAAGTCCACCTGTTGTTTTCAGCCAGAAACCAACCACTTAATTCGTTTTATAATCCGGTGCTTGACCCACCGGTTTTACCGCCTATTATCAATATTTTAATATTTTCCACGTTTAATTGACCCCTCACCAAGACCGTTGAATGTTCGATCCAGTCATTTTGATGCCTTTGAGCTGCACGAGAAGCTCACAGCCTTGCGGTTGCATCAACAAGCCCGTGACCGATTACTTCGGGAATGTGGAGCGCAGGAGAGCCCCGTACTGCCCGATAGCACACAAATCCAATCTTTGTGCGCCTCCGATCCGGATGCAAAACAACCTAGTCCCTTACCGCCAGAGCGAGTGAGTTGCTTTGATAAGTCTTGTTTTATTATGTTTTCAGCACGATTCTGGACACCACAATGGTATCATGTGACTTGTGCCGTTGCTAGTACCTGTCCATTATACTTAGTCATCAGCTGCTAAATAATGCAGCGTGTCGTGGTCATCCCGATGGTTCCCACTGTGGAATCGGTAGACCCTAAAAGCTCCGAATTCGGCCTAGTGCATAAAACAACTCCTTGCGCGCGGTTTGAGTGTTTTTGATCCCTCCCGGGATTTCGATGTTCCAACTTTATTCCAGTTCATCGAGCGTCTTAGGAAATCATGAGGTTTTTGGGTATGACTGCAGTGTTTCTTCCGTAGGTACGATCGTCCTGTGCGTCAGAAGAAAATGTCCTACTTCTACGATTCTCTGATAGAGATAGGTACAACTTCTTTCTCAATACTCGCTTGTAGTCGGACCAGTTTCGTAAATTTTCGTGTGTGATTCATTATGGGGACCTTCACTTGTGTATTCCATGCACTTGGCTGTCTTGTCGATGACACCCGCTGTGTTTCATTCGTCATCATCAGCTGTAAGAACCGCGTACTTGTAGTACGGGGGTTGTATTTGCCACAGTTTTGTCCATTGATGATCTGGGGAGGTAGGGGATGTAGCTGCGCGTTTCAGACGGAAGCTAATAAATTGGTACGTAAATACAGGTCTGTCGGAGGACACTTAAATGAGGAGATTGGGAAGGAATCTACGCACTGAAGGCAATAACTTGGATACACGAGCTCCATTGGGGACGCGACAATGCCTCTAACCATTGATGTGACCTCTCTGAAGGTCCCCATCGAGGAAGACAGCAATGACCAGTGCAACTGAGTTTCCTGCTGCCAAGTCATTGTTTGACCGCCTTTGGCTCTACTCCACCTTTCATGTGGTTGTGCGAAAAGAACCCCTCGAGGATGTCGGTTGACTGGCATACGTAGTACGTCGCAAAGCCACCACAACTTATGCAGTGTGATTAGTTCATCTATCGAGGGTGAGTTATTTCTCCCGAATACCATTCGACGTACCTCAGAATTACTGATCCGGTGTTCCCACCAGATTCGGGCAATGCTCCGAAGACATCTATGGTCACTGAAAGTCTTTTGACGTCCTCGGCGCGCAGCGGCAAGGTTTCTGATCCATATAGTAATATGGAGCGCACCGCAGCATTGTAAACCCGACCCTTGACAGAGAAACTGATGTCACACCTACGCCACAGGTGATGTAGGTTCGCAAAAGCCGCTCTGGCCTTCCCAATACGGATGGAAATATCATCTTTCGCGAGACCACCGGGACTGATACAGCTTCCCAGGTGAACAAATTTATGTACTACCTCAATCGGTTCATCCGCAAGCATGAGGTAGAGTTCCTAACCTAATCAGTCTTGTAGTAGCACGTTACACTTGGCATGTGTGAAGCGCGTGCCATCCGTAAGGCAGAAGCATTTGGATTATTTAATATTGTTTGCATTACCATGGCATCAAATGTAAGGAGAGTTATCTCCTCTGTGTACCCAATATCTGTAAGCGGACCCCCCTGGGAGCACATCGACTCCACAGGCATGAGACGCTAGTATTGAGCCTCCAATAATCGTATCAGTGTCGAAGTGGAAGAGGAAAGGTGAAAGAGGACAGCCCCGTCTGACATCATCTCATGTGGTAAAGTCAGAAAAGAGCTTCTCATAGACCTTCACACGGTCGCGGGTGTTGGCGAACAGCGCCTTAAGGACTGTCATGAATTTATGGGGGCGCTGCTGCTCCGCAGACACTGCCATGGTGCCTGATGGTCCACTGATTCAAAGACAGCTTTCAAGTCAAGAAGGACGGTCAGTGTTGGTCGCTGGAAGTAGTGTTGCCGTTCCAGAATCTGTCGCAAGTTGAAGATATGATCGAGGAATCCTTATGCAGGACGGAACCCAGCTTAGTTTTCGCGGATCTGCTTCTCTATGTTCAGTCAACCGTCGAAGGATAAGGCGAGAGAGGATCTTCGATGCCACAAATACCAGGCTGATGCTGCAGTGCTTTACACAGCGTTCGCGTACCCTTTTTGAACATAGAAATAACTGTCGACATGCCCCATTCTGTGTTTCATTTGGAGAGAGGAGATAAATTGTCGTATGCACTCATCATATGAAAAGGCTGGCCGGATGTTGTACTATAATATGTTCAGTAACTTCTACTTGACTTAGTATCGTCCTCTCCGACTATTTCACCACTCTTCTTTTTATTTTCCTCGAAAATGTTTTCTCCCATACTCTGCTGTGTTTATCGCTTGTCACTTATTCTGCATTTGGTGGTATATTCGTAGCATCTTACCGGCTATTTTCCATCAGCCTATGCAATGCGGTTGAGCCTCGGGGATAAATATTCTTTGTGTTTTAGCCCTTTGGATCATTGTATTGCTTACACAGGCCTGACCACCATGTTGGAATTCTATCCGACGTGAATTAATGGTATCTCACTCCGGCATAAAATGGACTGTCTCGTTTTCATTCTGATGTACAGATGCAGGACGTGTGCACTTTTGTTTGTAACACGTTTCATCCCAGCTGCATGTGCGTTTTTTGCGTTGCAGTGTGGCCGTTTTCCGCTGCTACGACGTTGCACTTTATGAAAGATGGGTGTGTTTAGTGCTGAAAAAAAAGAACCACTGATCGTTGATCGGGCTGAGTGTTAAACCACTTCCGCTTGGCGGGTGGGACTTTCAGTCTCTTCACCGACTTAGCTGTCTATTCTCATTTGCGGTACAAATAACTCATTTAGCCTCATTCGGACAACAACTGTTCTGTCCGGGAATGGCTTGTCAGTCGACTAGTGATGTGTGCGAGTGGCTCATTTCCTGGGTTTGGGCGCATTTTAGTTAATATTCTCCCTGGGTGTCCCTGGGTGTTTTGGACAAAGATCACACGTGACTATCTTAGCGCAGTGGCAGGGATTGTTGAACGAGCAAACAGGTCCGAGAAATCCGAAGCGTGTGTGACAACCTGAAACCCGAAATAAGGGTGTTGTGTACGCCATTCGACCTCTTGTCTTTGCAAAAACTTACTGACCACTTGTGTGCAACGACATCAAGTATGTTTCACAGATGTTCCTTATATAAACAATAGTTATGCTCTCGTATCGAAGCTATTACGAGCGAACATGCCTAACTTAAACTCAGGATAGCCAAAGTCGGCGCGGTTGCCACCGTACTGGAGAAGCAATATGTGCAGCAAGTGGTCGTCGTAAAATCCGCGGGATGATGAAGCCGTTCCCGTCTCCTCCCTCTGTATCACAGCACAAGGAAGTATGATTTATTTAAGTGAAGGTAACCCAGTATTTTTTCTATCGGTGTTTATTTTTTTGCTTATCTTGGTGGAATCTCTTCCCCCTAAATTGTGGGAAGTATATTCGTATCATAAACTTTCCGCTTTCACGGCTGTTGATGACGGTTTTAATGACAAATGTACGCCTGCAGAGGGGAGAATCACTCGAGTGCCTCTATTATCGTAGTTTGGTAAAGTGTGGCCTGTTGATAGTAGCTTTACTAAGCAGAAGCCCATCATGTAGCAGTCGGTGGTAGCTACTCTCTGACGGCGGACGATTACCATGGTCCTTTCGAAGAGTGAACACTAAGGAAGCGAGTCGAAAACCCCGATCCGATCTTCCGTTACACGGTAATCACACAGTCGCAGCTCGAGCATATACGTGACTTGCAGCGAGTACTGATCATATGGTCCTCCGTTCAATCTTTCGACTTGTCACCTATTGCACGTTTACTTGTGTCAAATAGGTAGACAAGTGGTTGTCTTGCTTAGCTCGTCGAGACAGACTACCAGAGCACGTTTAAAATGCAAGGTACGATTCATGCGCATTAACGGTGTGCGGTACTATCCACCATTGTATTCGTCTTACATTTCGAGTCTAGCACAAGTTGACCATACTTTGTGACAAATGTTTCATTCACATTTTTGCGCAACACGCGATACAATCCGTGCATCAAAGAAACAACTTCAAGGAGGCGATTTAGGGAGGGTAACAAGGACGCTCACTCACGACTACTCTCATTTGGACTGTCTCTATAGAAAATCCGTAAAACAGTGATCTTCATTTACTTTCCCAATACCAATATGTTAAAGTTAATTCAACACCGTAACGCGTAAAGTTTACGAAAGATCGCGTCCAAGCTCGTTGTGTTCCCAATGTGTTCCAATTCAGGTCGATTGCTGACCGGGATTCCACCTAATGGGTTTAGCCATGCAAGTTTATCTCATTGCAAATACGTAAGGTGCAGAGTAAGGGAAGATGGATGGTCAGGGTCTCCCCCTAGAAGCGATAAAAACACGACAAATCCAGTCAAACGCTAATCTAGCATATGGAGTTCGGGGCACTGATGGGTGGTAAAGAGTCCCAAAAACGGGCTATTCTTTGGAAGGATAAATTTGAGAGCTCAGTCATCCGGCAGAAAATTGACCGGAGTGGCCGGACCAGCACCGTTGAAAGATGCATGGAGATGTAAGTCACGGAGATCGTCTCCTGCGCTGATAACGCAAAAAAGGCCGCGTCTCGATGGTGAGAAAGTTGGTCAATTATCATTTCGGGGACCGAATTTCAGAACACTAAGAAGAAGGCTACCGTGGTGGATGCTTATGATTCGATCAATCAATTCCGGATTCACTCTGTGCGTGAAACGTTTGATAAGGATGTCTGCTGGCAAGCCGCTGATGGTTCGAGGAATTTTAACAGTGAAAATATTTGAGAGGAACCGACAATCTTCAAGGTCAGGACAAAGATCAAGTTAGGGAATAGGAAGGCTTTGCGGGTTTTCTATTATGCAGAGGAACTGTCTTTATTTATGGACAGACGAAAAAGTTTTGAAAGAGTTATGAGCGAGTTCCGGGACATAATAGTGAAGATACCATCTCCGGAGATTTTGAGTTCCAGCAGGCGGCGTCGGACATTCGCTCATAGTGATAATTTTAGAGGCGGATTGTTGAACTTGATCAGGTCTTAGCACGACGCTCACGTTCATGACAGATGCACGCTAAAGGTCACAGTGAACAACATTTATGATCCGAAGATGAAAAAACAGTAACTTAGGAACAGTTTAGTTCATTTGAGAACCAAGTGTATGTCGTTTTGAATGGCCAAAGTATTTAGACGAATGGTCTTTATGTTTCCCATACCCAATTGTTTGGCATACTCGATCGTGTCCAGAGGGATGTGTGAATTTTTTTCCAACACTGAAAAACCTCTTCGTACTGGGAAGTTAGTGGTCTGCTGTGAGTTTCATCCCGCACCAACATAAGTAACCATAAGCCGAAATGTATGGGTACCTGGTGCTAAAATGTAAAAAAATACTGACGAATTAACGAAGAGTGAAGTGAATTGCAACTCGTTTCCGGTAAGATGATGAATTCGGAGTCGAAAATTGGACGCATCAACAGATGCCCCATTCCTAGATTTGTCACTCTGTCTCTCGGTGACAAACTGCTTGGGGGTGACGAATCGAACAGAAGTAAACGGAACCTGTCAGCTGTCCAGATCTAGTCAGGAGCTCGAACATGCAGCAATTTACTAACCCATTTTCAAAATGTGACGGTTGCTAGGTTATTGG